TTAAGAAGTATTGGCTTTAATTCTTCTTTAAATATTTGGTGGAATTCACCCATGAAACCATTTGGTCCTGGGCATTTCTTCATTGGGAGGTTTTTGATTATTGATTCAATGTCCTTATTCATTGCTGATCTGTTCAGATTTTATGTTTCTTCATGATTCAGTCTTGGAAGGTTGTATATTTCTAGGAATTTATTCATTTCTTCTAGATTGTCCAATTTTCTGGAATATACTTGTTCATAGCAGTTTTCTATGATCTTTTCTATTTCTATGATACCAATTGTAGTGTCTCTTGCTTCACTGACAATTTTATTTATTTGAATCCTCTCCTTTTTTTCTTGTTTAGTCTAACTAAATGTTTGTTAATTTTGTTTACCTTTTCAAAGAATCAATTCATTTTTCTTAGTCTCTTCTATTGTCTTCCTCTTCTCTATCCTTTATTTTTGCTTGATCTTTAGTATTTCCTTCCTTTTGGTAACTTTGTTTAGCAGTTTAGTTAGCAAAAGGAAGTTTCATTTCTTCCTTTTAGTTTAATTTGTTCCTCTTTTTTTTAGTTCTTTGAGGTGTAATGTTAGGTTGTTGATTTGAGATCTTTCTTTTTTTAAAATGTAGGCATTTGTAGCCATAAACTTTTCTCCTTGAACTGCTTTGCTTCTTCCCATAAGTTTTGGTATATTATGTTTACATTTTTGTTTGTTGAAAAGATATTTTTTGATTTCCCTTTTGATTTTTTCTTTAATCCGTTGGTTGTTCTGGAGTGTGTTTAGTTTCCACATATTTGTGAATTTCCCAGCTTTCCTCCTGTTTATGATTTCTAATTTAATAGGAAAAAAAGTACTTGATATAATTTCTTTCGTTTTAAATTTGTTGAGACTTGTATTGTGGCTTAACATGATATATCCAGAAAATGTTCCATATGTACTTGAGGAGAGCGTGTATTCTGCTGCTTTTAGATGGAATGTTCTATATGTCTGTTTAGTCTATTTTGTCTATAGCGTTGCTCCAATTCATTGTTTTCTTATTGATTCTGTGGATGATCTATCCATTGTTAAGATGGTGTATGTAAGTCCCCAACTATTACTGTGTTGGTGTTTATTTCTCCTTTAGTTTTGTTAGCATTTGCTTTATATATTTTGGTACTCCAATGTTGGCTGCATAGATATTTGTAATTATTATTTCTTCTTGATGAATTGACCACTTTTACATTATGTGATGACTTTCTTTGTCTCATGTTACAGATTTTGACTTAAAGTCTATTTTGTCTGATATAATTATAGCTACTCTTGCTCTTTTTTGGTTCTATTTACTTGGAATATCTTTTCCCATCCCTTCACTTTGGGCCTATGTGTGTCCTTATTGCTGAAGTGTTTCTCTTGTAAGCAGCATACAGTTGGATCTTGTTTTATTATCCATTTAGACTTTTGATTGGAAGATTTAATCCATTTACATGTAAATAATTATTGATAGGTAAGGAGTTACTAATGCCATCTTATTCATTGTTTTCTGGCTATTTTGTAGTTTCCTGCTCCTTTCTTCCTCTCTTGTAGTCTTCTTTTTGGAATTGATGATTATTTGTAACAGTATGCTTTGATTCTCCTCTCTTTATCTTTTGTCTATCTACTGTAAATTTTTACTTTGTTTCTGCTATGTTGTTACATAAAACATCTTATAGATATACTTGCCAATTTTATGCTGATAACTTAATTTCCATTACATATAAAAACTCTACCTTTTACTCCTCCTTCCACATTATGTTTTTGGCGTCACAATTTATGTCTTTTTGTATTGCGTAGCTATTAATAAATTATTGTAGCTATTATTATTCTTAATACTTTTGTCCTTTAACCTTTATACTACAGTTAAGTTGTTAATACAACACAGTATTGCAATATTACAATCTTCTGAATTTTACTATATACTTACCTTTACCAATGTGTTGTATATTTTCATATATTTTTATGTTATTAATTAGCATCCTTTCATTTCAACTTGAAGAACTCCTTTCAGCTTTTCTCATATGGCAGATCTAGTGATGATCAATTCCTTCAGCTTTTGTTTGTCTGAGAAGGTCTTTATCTCCCTTCATGTCTGAAGGACAACTTTGCCAAATAGTTTTCCTAGTTGGTAATTTTTTCTCTTTCAGTAGTTTGAATATATCATCCCACTCTTTCCTGGCCTGCAAGCTTCCCGCTGAGAAATCCACTGATAGCCTTATGGGAGTTATCTTGTATGAGGGATTTTTTTTCCTTGCTGCTTTTAAAATTCTTTGTTTTTGCTTTAAAAGAATTCTATTATAATGTGTCCTGGAGAAGATTGTTTTGGGTTGAAATGTTGGGGTGGCTTATTAGCTTCATGAACTGGATGCCCAAATATCTCTCCAGATTTGGGAAGTTCTCAGCCATTATTTATTTAAATAAGCTTTTTGTCCCTTTGTCCTTCTCTTCTCCTTCTGGGACTCCAATAATGAATAGATTGTTTCTCTTAATTGTATCTGATGGTTCACATACAATTTCTTTGCTCTTTTTCATTTTTTCCTTTGTTCTCCTTAGATTGGATAATTTCAAAGGCTCTATCTTCTACTTCGCTGATTCTTTCTTCTGCTTGATCCACTCTATTGTTGATGCTCTTGATTGCATTTTTCATTTCATTCATTGTATTCTTCAGCTCCAGAATTTCTGTTTGGTTCCTGTTTATGATTTCTATCTCTCTGTTAAACTTCTTATTTTGTTCGTGTATTTTTTCCTGATTTTGTTGAATTGTCTTTCTCTGTTATCTTGTAGCTTACTGAGTTTCCTTATAACAGCTATTTTGAATTCTTTATTGAGTAAATCATAGATCCATTTCTTTGGAGTCAATTATTGGAAAGTTATTGTATTCCTTTGGTAGCGTTATATTTCTTTGATTTTTCATGTTTCTTGAAGCCTTGCATTCCTGTCTTTGCACTTGAGAAATCAGTTACTTCCCCCTGTCTTTACTGACTGACTTTGGGAGAGAAATACCTGCTGTCAATCCTGCTAGGTATTCTGAGGCTTTCTTGGATCTTTTCTATGAGTACAGCTGGTCCACATTATGTGTTCTCTCTTCTAGTAGAATTCTTAAGCTTGTATTCCTTCTCTTGATCCTGCAAAGCCAGCCTAGGTGCTGACAGACTTCTTTTTACTTTCCTTTGGGTAGTGCTGAAGGCTTAAGTTGTGTCATTTCTCTTAGACCTGCAGAGTGGGTCTGGCTTTCTGTGTATGTTCATCTGCCTTCTTCAAAAGCTGGTTCTCACTGCCATGGGGAGCATGCACAGATAGCCAGCCATGGAGTTGGGGACGTGTGTGAGTGAGGCCTGCAGAGTGCTATTGGTGTCTGTGGGCCAGTTGGAGGGATCTGCAGGTGAGTCATCCCCAATGGCTCATGGGCTGTCTTCCTAACAGATTCCGTGATGCATTTACTAGCATTTGTGTCCTCTGGTCCCCTCTGAGAGCCCTATTTTATGCTTTCCAAGCTGCTCCCTAAATCTCAGTTACACAGCACACCTTAGTAATTGTCTTTATTGTATCTAATATCTGATTTTTTTCCTCCAACAGTGTGTTGGGACTTCTCTGCTAGACTCCTGGGTTTCCACAAAAGCTCTTTTATTCTTGAATGATTATCTAAATTGGTAGTCTTGGAAGAATGATAGAAGAAAACTCTTATTCTTCCATGATAATGATGTCACTATGGTTCAATTTCTTTCTTTATGAACTCCGACTTTCTATTTTTTTTTTTTTGCTAGAGTCTGTGACTTCATTTGTCCAAAAAGTCCAAAAGCAGAATTTAGGACTGATAGTTTAGGTTTGCCCAACAGTTTTACTATTTTATTCTATGGTCTTCCAGCTTCTATTGTTGCCTTTGAGAAATCTTCTCTCAGTTTGTTATTCCTTTGTAGTTAATCTGTCTTTTCTCACCAGTTGCATTGTTTGTTTGTTTGTTTTTTGGTAAGGAAAATTTTCTCTGAGCTAACATCTGTTGCAATCTTCCTCTTTTTTTGGATGAGGAAGATTTGCCCCAAGCTAACATCTGTGCCAATCTTTCTGTATTTTGTATGTGGGTAACCACCACAGCATGGCTTGACAAGTGGTGTAGGTCTCACCCAGGATCCGAACCTATGAACGCGGGCCACCAAAGTGGAGTGTGCCAGACTTAACCACTATGCCACAGGGTTGGCCCCCACCAGTTGCTTTTAAGTCTTTCTATCTTTGGTATTATAGTTTCACTACTATATGTCTAAATGTGAATTTATTTTACTTGAGATAAATGCTTCCTAAATCTGAGGATTTATGTCTTTCTTCAAGTTTAGAAAATATTTAATTATTATCTCTTTATTATTATGCTACATCATTATTATTTTAATTCTCTCATTAATAAATTCATATTAGAAGATTGCTGGACCTTCTTATTCTTTTCTCATGACTCCTAGTTAGTCGTTCTTATTTTTAATTTCTTTATCATTCCTGTTGCATCCTGGGTGATTTCTTAATCTCTCTCTTCTGGTTTAGTGATCCTCTTTTCAGCTATATCTACTTTATTGTTTAATCTGCTTCCTTCTTATTTCAATGACTACATTTTTTTAGAGGTATTGATAGCAAAATGTTTAAAAGCATGGTTTCTGAAGAATTGTTGGATTTACATTTTGGCTCCACCATTTATTAGTTCTGAAGTTTTGGTCAAGTTAATTAACCTTTCTGTGTTTTTTCATGCTTAAAACTTAGATAGTAATTGTATCTAATGTATTCTGTCATTTTGCTAATTATGTAAAATTATTCGTTTAAAATCCTTAAAAGTGTACCTGGCACACATTAAGTGCTCAAAAATGAATTATTGTTATTATCCATTTTCAAATTTGTCTCTTTGTTATTTATAGTATTTTACTGTTATGGGCATAATACTTCATTTTAGAACCTGAATTAGTTTAAATAAATTTAATTTATTATAATTCTTAGATAGTTTTTTCTACCTGAATTTTTAATTATTTAAGCCTACATTTATCACATATTTCGAATCTTGTTCATCATATTTTTGTGGGTTTTGTGAGTTTGGATTAAGAAGCTTCTTGTGCAGTGTAGGAATTCCATGTGACCTGGACTTCTGATGGTGTCCATCAAAAGTGATTTTGTATTTGCTTCTTCTAAGCCCTGGGAGGTCATGGGCCCAGGAGTAATTTTTATAACAATTCTTTATTTGGAGTTTCCCAGAGCACACCCATGAGTGTAGCACAGTCTTGAGGTTTTGTTATTTCAGGGGAAACTTTCTATTTCTCCCAGAGCTCATACAAACATAAGCTTACTTGTCATCTCTCTGTGCCCGTGGGTGAACTTTTTCTCCACCAAACCACGCATTTATTAAAAGGAAAGTCTTCTGATGGTCTGTATTTTATGTAGGTGTTTTAGTTTCAAGTTTATGCCCTTTGCAGGCCCAAGGTTTTGTTTCCTAGTTCCACATGGACTTTAAATGCTAATTTTACAAAAATTATTTAGTGGAATGTTTCCCTCCCCACTCCTCCCCAGGGGAACAATAATGTCAATTTACGTGTTTAACACTTTGTTTCTTTCTTTTTTTTAGGTGTATTGGGGGATTTTCCCTTATTTCTTTCCTATTTGGCTTTGCATTTAAAAAATTATGTAACATTTACCCATCAATGAATGAATGAATGAAGGCCACCTCTGACTGGAGATCAACATTTGTGAACTGAGAAGGAGATGTTAGTAAATTATGTTACAAGAGTGAGCAAAACCCTTGAAAGGAAATTAAGACTGAAAGCTGGAAGTACAATCTGGATCTTGGTTGTTGGTTTTTCTCCTGCCACCAAAAACTTATGTTCAACTACCAGGAAGATACCCACAGGAAGCTGCTGTGAGTGACTATTAAGGGTTTGTATAGTCAATGACTCATGATCCACAGTTCCCCTTGGTCATTCACCTTCCTGCCTTGAAAGTCATAACCCATCCCCCTTCTGGAAAACCCACACACATACAATTAAAACAGAAAGTAGAAGGATTCAGATCGAATTGTCTTTAATCCCTGGAGGCCTCTCCACATCTGCTGTCCCCTGGGAGCCCATGTATTTTCACACATGAAGGGGGAACTTCTCCCTAATGCAGATGCTGCTCAGATATCTACTGAGAGCCTCACTAAGTCTTCTTGTGACTCTGTCTTCCCTCAGACTCCAACACTGGGTTCACTTCCACTTCCCACAGTTGAAATAGCAATGCCTTTTTTTAGATGGAGTCTATAATAACTTCTACTGATACTGAAGAAAATGCGACTCCACATGAAAAAGAAAAATTTGAGCTTTGTAAAACTCTACTCTCTTAAAACATTCACTGTCTGAAACTTAAATTTACTCTTGCTTTTCTATGATTGTCTGGAGCAAATATGTGGATACTTCTTTTAGGATCTGGATCTCTGGAGCATCTCCATCTTCATTTCTGCCAGGGAGGTAATGAGCAACAGCTTGCAGACATTCTTATTCATTCTGAGTTCCCTGTCATGCTATTTGGCCTATGCAGGGCTCCAGTAGACTTCCAGAAATGAATGAATTGCACTGTAGGGAATATCCTGGGCAGAAGAGTCATCTGTGTCTGCCTAAAGAACATCTGGAGAGTGTCTACATAGACAACATCTAGATGCCCACTAGTCAGTCCTGCTTCTGACGGCCTCCAACAAACAGTATCACCTCCCAAAGTATATATTTATTACCCTGGACATAAAATTTCTAGGTCCAGCCCCACTCAACAAAGATATCTTGTTGTTCAAGATAATTACAGTAACTATTAAAACTACTACTACAACTACCAACACGCAACAAGGATGATCAAGATTACGACTACTTTTCTGCCGTGTATTCAGAAATTTACTATAAGTGATTTGTATACATTATGACACTTAATTCTGTCATAGTGACCTTCGAACCACAAGTTCAACCAAATATATCCAAAGGTCTCTGGAGCTATCCAAACTCATTTTTCCATTCTAACTGTCCTAGTAATCAACTTCATCAAATGAGACATGTTATTTATTTTGTTCTGAATTTTATTTCATAGAGACTCTCTTTGTCTCTGTCTCAATCCTGGCATACCCCATCTTGGCACTGCACTTTGTGTCCCATTCAAGACATTGAACGGAGTTTACAGATAATCTGCACCTGGTCAGGATGAGGAGGTATTACAGGCCATCTAGAAACCGTTCCAGCAGGCAAGGACTTGATAAGAAGCTCAGTGACCAGCTCTGGTCCCAGGGAGAGAAAAACTCACTCACTCTCTTCCAAACACAAGTAAAACATTTGTTTATGTAGAAAGTTAAAGTAGCAATGCTTGATATACTCTAAGGTGATAGAGGCTACAAACCCCATAAAACCTGGGCCTTATTTTTATGACGCTTTTAAAAATACATACATAGCATATGTTTATTGTAAGAATACTAGAAAACACTAATGAATAAAATGAAAAAAGTAAAAATCACCTTTAATTACATTATTCAGATATAATTACAGCAACACTTTGGGGTTTATTGTCCTAGACATTTTTCACTGAGGGGTGGGAGAGCTGAGTGCAGCACATAAATTGCATCTGGGGGCCACTTTTCCCTTAACAATATGTCATGACCATCTTTTATTGCTATTAAATATTCTCTACAGAGTTATTTTAATGGCTGCTTAGTGGTCCACTGTCTAGCATATAATTTACTTTTTAATCTGCCTTTGTTGGGTATTTTTAGAATTTTCTTTTTACACTTTTATAATGATGTATGACATCACGTACATACAACAGAATTTCCCAAAGTAAAACTAGGTTTACAGTGAGTGAGTGATAATGTTAAGTATTCACCTTAACAGATGACCTTGAGTCTATGATTATGACTTTACTCTTAGTCACTCACCAGGTTACAAATACCCATGATTTGTGATTTAAAGTTTCATGCTGCATAAGATCCAAAAGGGCAACTTGCATCTGCCTGGACGGCCCAATCTTGAGCACATTGTTATATACAATATTTATGGTGACTACAGCTAATCAATATGAGAATGATAATATGCTTTGGCATGATGCGTGCTTTGCAGGGTGTGGCTGTATTAGGACCAGCCTGTGGTACAAATAGCAATATGGACTAGAAATAGGGAAGGGGACAGTGTTTGCTTTGATATAGAGCAGGTGTTTTGAATCTTAGTAAAATCCTATTCTAGAAAGTTAGAAATTACCTACGGAAAATTTCACCTTAGATACCTGAGCCATTGCAACAATGGCCCTGTTATCTTAAGGAACATTGAGAAGTAACATATTATAGTAAGATATTATAGTGTGCAAGAGCCAGACTGTGGAACTAGACTGCCTGGGTTTGACTCCCAGCTGTCACTACTAGAAATTGTCTATGTTGATCTTGATCAGTCTACTTGCCTTTTCTGGTGCCTCAATTTCCTCAATTGTGTAAATGGGATATTGCTGACTTCAGAAGCTTGCTGAGGCTATTAAATAACTTTGTGAGCATAAGGCACTTAGAATTGTGTCCAACTCGTTAACAGCCATCTATATGTTAGCTATCATCCATGTCAAGATGTGGAGTTTCTCTGGCATTGAGAGGATCATCTTTAATCCTCTTAGCACTTACAGGAAAGAAGATAAGGTCAGATATTGCAGAGCTCTTCTAGTTCCTTTTCTGCTAATTATACAAAACTTATTTTGCAAAAGCAGTTTCTATTCTCCGCACACAGACCACAGCTGGTGGCTTAGGGAACATCTCTTCTCAACTAACTGAACTAGGTCTTCATATCATTGTGGTCATTGCTGATCATCTTTGATGAGCTCAATAATTTGAGTTAGCACTGAGGTGGCAGTAAGATGAGATCTCCAGCTCCAGAAAGGTCTAATGATTTATCAGACCCCAGGGACCAGTACGAATGCTCAGGTCTCTGCTTCCAGCTTAGATTTCAAAGGCAGATGCAAAGCTGTGGGCTCCAGGAAAATCAAATTGCAATGTATCCTAACCCTTGATGTTCAAGTCAGCCCACCTCCCCATTTGTTGGTCGCAAATTTCTGTTTTGATATCTTAGATCTCAGAGAGTAATATGTCCTCATAAAATTTTCATAATTTCAATGCTTAATACTCTTCTATGAAAAATATTTAGATAGTTATCTACAAGATTTGGATTCAGAAGATGAATTGAAACCTTTGTTAATGTTCCTCTGTTTAATCATGGACAATGACGGGGAGGAGGGCTGATGCTGGAAAACAAGATTCCTTTCTCTACATTCAGTTGTTACTAAATAAATATTTGTTAATTGAGTAAAAGGACTCTTCACATAAAATATGACCAGAGAAAAGGGATCAATTCAGGATTTGTTCAAGTCTTATAACTCTCACTGGGTATGTTTCCTGATGAACTCTATGGGACTGGAGAACATGTTATCACGTACCCTTGAAAAGCGTGGATGTAAGGGCCATCGGCGGGGTAAGGCAGAAGGAAAATGAAATGAAGGAGAAAATTGGTAAACATCCAGTATCCATGGGACTTGCTCCTGCCAATCCCTTTGGTCAAGGGATGAGTTTGCAACTCACCTTGTGATTTTACAAGGAATGAGGGTTAGTTGTGTGCTTGAGGGAGATTGAATTGTTGGTGATAATGCAGTATGGAAATAGAAAAGGAGGAAAAGATGGAAAGTTTTTAAGTAATTTAGCAGAGTAATATAAGTTTCTAAATTGTGAGGGCAAATGCTCTGTGATAACATCTGATTTTTGATTCCCTCACAGCTTTGGTCAGTGAACAGGCAGGTGAGGAACTCCTTGTCTTTATTGTTCTTGGTCTCTGGTATATCAGTCACCAGGTTACCTCAAGGTCCTGTAGAGATGGATGTAGAAAGACTGGGAAGAAGTATCAGTGTTACTGCTTCCCTGGGCCAACCTGCTCCAGGATCCCACAGTCTCTGCCCTTGACACTGTGTGCTTGGCTGGGTGATCAGGCCCTGCTCAGCCTTCCCAAAGCCCCAGGGTTGGTCTCCTTGTCAAAACCCCAGGAGTAGGGAGGGAAGTGACATCTGAAAGAGGATGTGCAGACTGGACAGAAGGGCTATTTAGAGAGAATTGTTTTCCTGGCCATAGGACCATAAGTCTTCAACATCACTAAACATCCTCACAGCTCTGAAAAAGTCATCTCTGAGGAATATGGCTAAGAATTTATGCTTGGTCAGAGTGGCCAGTGTCCTCATTGCTTCTCTAACTCTAGATCAGGAGTTGGCTGGATTTCTCTGTAAAAAGCCAGAGAGTAAATAGTTTAGGCTTTTCATGTCTCTGTTGTAACTACTTAACTCTGTCCTTGTAGCAAGAAATCCTCTATAGGCTGTGTGTAAAGGAATGGACTTGACCTTGTTCCAATAATACTTTATTTGCCACAACAAGCAACTTACCAGCTCACAAGTCATAGTTTTCCAACCCTTACTCTAGACCATTATTTAATTCTGAATTTTTTCATTAATGTGCTGCTTTTCTAAAGTTGTATAACTAAAACTAATTTCATCTTATTCTTCTTAATTTAAAGCTGTGCTCAAGAAAGGAAGTAAATGAAAACAATATTTTATTCTAGACACAAAATCTCCACGAGCCAAGATTAAACCTAAAGAAATGGAGACTTGTTCCCTTGCCTATCCAATGCTAACCGCGAAGTGGAAAGAACTCTTTGGGCTCTAAGAAACTGTGCTGGAATAAACAGATTATTCTCTCACTTCTAATGATGAGACATTAATGAAACAGGAATGTCAAGGGAGACCTACAGGAGTTCTGGCCTGGAGCTTGTTCAGGAGCAAGACTTATCTCTTGCGTTCATTCTGTTCTATGTAATCCTTAATGACCAACTCAAAGTCTCACTTAGTCAACTGCAGCCCTAAACCTGTGAGGCTGCCCATCACGTGCTTTTTCAATGGCATCTCTAACCATGACTCAGAGTATTTCTCTCCTATCCCTGACAGCATTCTCACTGGGAATTTTTCCAGTTTCTGGATGAAGACTATACTAGTGGTGTAAAACTTGTCTTGATTATAAGTCTCAAGCCAAGTCCCCATAGGATCTAGTCTCCATCTACGAAGGAGGGCAAAAATCTTGAATTAAGCTAATTGTTTCTGCAACCCCCCTTTCCTTCCCTCGTAATTTCATTTAAAAAAATCCAAAACATTGTCTACTAATGTCCAACATGTAAATCTGGCTCTCCACCTGGAACAGGCAGTAGCAAACCATACATTTTTCCAAAAATTACAATTCTAATTCCACAAGCTTCCTGTGGTATTTTGGCTCTGGCCCTGCAGTGGTATATTATAAGGCATCACATTTCTTATATGACTGACCTCTGCTTCCTTATGTGACTGACCTCTGCTTCCTTACACTGAACATCCAAATTCTGGCAGTCATCGTACAATTGAACAGTGGTAGGGAGAAGATTTTTATTTGAAACAGAACTTAGTTCCTCAACCTAAGCTCAAAATCCTCAACTATAATCTTAAAATATAATGCAGATGTCACAAACATTGAAAATAGTCTGGTACTACAAATACATGAAGTGACAGGGTAGAAATTAGAGAATCCTTGACCAATCTAACAAGAGCAGCCTTGAAGGAAGACATTAGTCTTTGGCAATGATTTTTTTCTCACTAAAATCAGTCATCTAAGAGCTTTGGGTTAAAATACATCTCTACCTCGTTACACATTGAATGGATAGGAGAGAACTTTTGAAAACGTTCGAGTGGAAAGTTCTTAGAATTAAAAATAGTGGACCTTATTCCAGTAACCAGCTTATTCTGGAGTGTTTGTGATTTGACCATGCAAGGAAGACATGATGAGTGACATGTCTGGTTCTGAATGTCCTGTTTGTTGGGATTGCTTCTCACCAGATACTTTTCAGCAGGAACCATAAATCTCACTGCTCTGGGAACTGTTATGATCCTTCTCTGGAGCTAGTTTCATGACCTAATGACCTATTCTAGAGCCAGCCCCTCCTGGCCCACTGAGGGTAGCCCAGGGCCCCTGACCAGTGAGACCCAGCTCTCTCCATAGAGATCAGATGCCCATCTCCAATTTTTCTTTTTCAGAGAGAGCAGAGCCCTCGGCTCAGGCTGGAGCAGCTCCCCAGAGCTCCAGATCCATGCCGAGTGGAGTGAAGACTCAGGATCTTACTGATGCAAGGCAGAGACAGGACTCACAGAGTCAGAAAACCAAGTTTCCAATCCCAAATTCATGTGCAGAGTGGGTATTAGTGGGGCTAAGCATGGGGAAAAACAGGAGTGCTCTAGCTCCAGCTTGGACTGCTAGTCTTTTTGTTACTTTGTGCAACTGTTCTTGTGGAAAGTGGGAACTGACCTACAGAAACTCTCCAAATTGCCTTTGGCATCTCTCTTCGTAAGAATAACAAGTGGACTAGGCTCCTTATAATCTTTCTTTTCTTTATTAGGTAAGTAATATTCATTGACCAAATCTTCGTTGATCACTGGCTGCATGCCTTGGCATTTTGCAGTGGGCTGGGAACTTTAAAAGGCAAGGCATCTGTTCTCCAAGTAGCTCCACATGCTAGATTGCAAGACAAATTGACTTATCAGAAGGCAACATGGTGCTACAGAGTATGGGGCTAAATGAAGCATCAGAGAAATCAGAAATCAAAGTGAACTGGAAAGGTTACGGGAGGGGTTGCGATTTGTCTTGATCTTTTAAATTGAGAATAATGGAGGAACTGTTCTTCATATGGCTATTAGAAACAGTGCCTTTTCCAAGGTAGGATGGATGCTACCAATGACCCTCTTCATTATACACAAAAGGCATCTGTCTGCACCATGACTCATGCCCCTAAAATGTTTCCCGTCTCATGGAGTGGATGATCCATCACAAATTTTTTTCTTTTTTTAAATTGGCACCAGAGCTAACAACTGCTGTCAATCTTCTTTTATTTTTTTCCTTTTTCTCCCCAAATCCCCCCAGTACATAGTTGCATATTTTAGTTGTGGGTCCTTCTAGTTGTGGCATGTGGGACACTGCCTCAGCATGGCCTGATGAGCTGTGCCATGTCCACGCCCAGGATCCGAACCAGCGAAACCCTGGGCCACAGAAGCAGAACGTGAGAACTTAACCACTCAGCCATGGTGCCGGCCCTGATCACAAATTCTTTAATGATTGCTACCCATGAAATTAGCCAGGATCAGGGTTAAGACATGCAAGTATCTGCATCCACATCCTTCAAGGATAATTACCATGGATTCTCTATCTTGGTATACTTACAACGGTTTACATATGCAATACCCATATTCCCACTCCTGTCATTAGATAGTGAAATCAGTCTATCCTCTGGTCACAGAATCGTCTATAATCAGTATTTTCACATGTTATCTTCTATGTCCTCAGGAGTCTCAGTTGCTAATCCAAGCTTAGAGACCCAGCCCCCTGGGGGGACAGGTGATTGAAGGAGAGAATCTTGTCCTACTCTGCTCAGTGGCTGAGGGCATAGGAAACATCACATTTTCCTGGCACAGAGAGGCCACAGGAATAAGTCTGGGAAAGAAGACCCAGCATTTCCTGTCAGCAGAGCTGCAGATTCCAACTGCGAAGGAGTGCGAGGCTGGCCAATTTTATTGTAGAGCTGACAATAACCATGATCCCATTCAGAGCACGGTGGTGAATATTCCTGTGAGAAGGGAGTTGCATGCTCATTCATCTCAGAGAGAAATCCCAAAACCAAGGTCACAGTGCCCAGGAGTCAAGAAGAAATTTCAGCAGCTCCCAGAAATCAGTGCTGTGGAGAAGCAACAGCAATTTGAAGGTGGGTTACTCTTCTAAGTTAAACTGCTGACACTTTTCTTTTTTGTGGAAGAAAATATAAAAAGGGCTGGATTGGCATTAGAAAAAAATAAGATGAGAACAACAAATGACCACATCTCTAGACAGGACCCCAGAGTTGATGTTCCCTCAAATTTCTAAAGACATGGTTGAGAAAATAACCTCTGATTGTTCTGGAGTGGATGTGAGGATGGAAGGAATACACAATGACTAAGGGGCCAGGCCCTTTGCTGAGATTCTAGTATAGTCTGGGAGTTTGTAAATCTACTTCAGCATCACAAATCCTCTCTGATAGTCCCCTTTGTGTCTGTTAGTTCCAGTGTCTTGTCCTGTCCTCACCCTCAGGGTTCCTGCAGCCAGGGCTATCATGGGGGACACAGTGGAGCTTTGCTGTGAGGCTTCTCCCCCAATCCTGTATCAGTTTTATCATGATGATGTCAACCTGGAGAACGTCTCGGCTCCCTCTGAAGGAGGAGTATCCTTCAATCTCTCTCTGACCACTGGACATTCTAGAAACTACTCCTGTGAGGCTGACTATGGCCTGGGGGCTCTGTGCAGTGGAATAGTGCCACTCTCCATCTCAAGTGAGTTGGTGATCCCTGGATACAGGAGTATTATGATCAATGGCTCTGTTCCAGAAGTCTTTATTGGTACCATATTGAGGTTTCAGAAGATGGATGGAGTTCTAGGTCATGTCTCCTGTGTGTGGGAAGTTGAAGAAAGTGACCTAAAGGCCTAGCTGCTTCTCTTCTCTCCACACTAACTGAAAAGTACACACTATACTTAGTTAAAATTACATGAATTTATATTTACAGTTTCTGCAAAGTATTCATAAGGATTTCAGGGCCCAAGCCTTTAACCTCTGAGGCTGAAGTACTGGTTTCTTCCCTCAGGGAATGGTGGCTATAGAATAGAACTTGTCACGGCCAGAGTTCTTAGGGGCTGTTTAGTGTCCTTGGTTTTATTGCTGGTCTCACAAGATATCAGGTTGGTATCTACTATTTATTTTGTTTATCACTTATTGCTGTGACCTTTTCCATTACTGATACAGGTTGGATTTGCGAAAAGGAGAAGAAAGAAAAAAGGAAAAAAAAACCTTCCAATATCTGTTCAATTCTTTTTAAACTTCACAAGGAGCGGTCAACGTTGCCATATTACTAATTTGATAATATGTCATTTTTCTTGTATGCAGTCACCTGAGATTAAAACTATTAACATACTCTTTCATTCTAAATAAAAATGTCTGATTATTAAATACCGTTTAATAACTTTCAATAGGCATATTTAGTTTTTATGCAGTAGAGTAAAATGTAATAAGGAGCTGTATTTAAAAGAATTAAAACAATTTAGTGTAATATTTTCTCTTTTATTTACCCATTGCTTATTAGATATCCTATTCATGACAAGAGCAGTGACTCTTTTTTGAATTCTTGGATCTATTATATGGACCATATGGGGCCATCTTCACCCACATGTCTGATGATCGATGCCGTCATAAGACCATCAATTAGAGCACATGTGTGTGACCTCTCAATGTGGCCTGGATTTCCTCGTAGCATCTTGACCTCAGGGTAGTCAAACTTTTTACGTGTTGGCTTAGGCTTCTAAAGCAAATGTGATAGTGAATCTGCAACATCTTCTCATCAACTAATTTCAGAATTATGCAGTGTCACCTCCACCACAATTTTATTGAGTCCTAGTGCCTAACAAACTTATCCAGATTCAAGGGGAGAGAGTAATGACTGCACCTCTAAATGGGAGAACTGTCAAAGAATTTGCAGCCATATTTTTAAAATTTCCACGTACACCATCACGAATTCCAGTCCATGCCTCCCAACCCCACAAGCCCCTTGGTTGCCCTCTCTGGACTTGACAAATGCCCTGTGGAACAAGTGGTTCTGGTAGCCGGATTTATCTCCATAAGCCGCTCTTCCCTCTCATCTTGTCTCAGAAATTCTTCGCTATCTTATTACCTTTTCAGTACCTTTAAATAGACTTTTAAAAGTATTTTCCCAGAATTTCTAGTTATCCTCAGAAGAAAGATTAGTTTAATTTCTCCTTCCATATTACTGAAAGTGTAAAAGCCTCCATCTTTTATAACCAACACTTTCATAAAGCTGCTGTGTTTTCAGTATTTTCAGAATAACCATATCTCTTTATAACATATTATTTTTAAGATCAAGAATTTAGATAATTCTCCTAATCAATGTCTCCTACTGACCCCTACTGGCATTCTACTGCCCAAAAAAATGTTACCAATGACCGATTATTTGGTTTATTTTGTATGGCAAGATACCACACGTTATCTGCAATTATAAAAAATAACTTGAAGTGTGAATTATTGTCCATGTTTAACAATCTTGGAAAAGTTAAGTACTTTGCCGTGTTCACACAGCCAGTAGAGGGCAAAGCTAAGACCAGAATCCATACTTGCCTGACCATATGCACCTCCTGACTTTAATTATTCTCCTCTTATAAGTTTCACTCATTTTAGTAAGGTGTTATTTTTTAATCTATAAGATACAGAACAAGCATGGAGTACAACAGAATTGCAATGTAAATGTTTAAGTTAAGTCCTTGGAATGCCTTATTTTGGAATGTGGCCATAATTGCAACTTATTGTTTTCATGCTTCAGCCAAAATGGAAACAGAGAAGTCCAATTTAACATTGTTGGAAATTGTTTTTTCTTTCATTAAGTTTCTAATTGCTAAAAAATATATGTATATGAAAAGAGATGTTGTTTATGTAAAATAATTTCTAATTCATTCACTCTGTTAAATTCTTTCATTTTTTCAAGTAACACACCAATTCTATAGATTTTTTCAAATTTAGAAGCAAATAATCTGCAACACAATAAAACATTTACTTCCTCCTTTTCAAGTTTTAAGCAAATTATTTTTTCAAGTCGTATTATATGCTTCATGGCCTCTGGTACATTGAAAGATAATAGTAGTTACAGCATATAACTTTGTCTAGCTCATGCTTTTAAGGGAAATTTTGTTGTGTTTCTCTAATATGTAATATATTCAAATACTCCTTTTAATGAAGTTCTAGCATTCTTATTTTATTAGTACTATTTTTCAGGAACAACTTTTAATTTTGCTAATACTTTGTTAATACCTGTGGAGATAATCATATAATATTTCTTTTTCATCTTTTAAATCAACTAATTATATTATGCCAGAATATCTAATATTGAATAACTTTTGGATTCTTGGTAAAAATCCAATTTTAATGATGTATTTTTTAATATAAACAAGCATTCTATTGAAGATTTTTTCGTAAATATTAATGTGTGAAATTTTCCAGGTTTGCCATTATCGTGCTCTTTTTGGGGTTTTATACTCAATATTTTCCTATCTTTACCAAAGGAAGTTCAAAGTTTTCCTTCTTTTCCTATATTCTGAAATAGTTTACACAGCAACATAATTATCTGTTTTTTAAAGATTTTGTGAAACCCCCGTGAAACCATCTGTGCCTGGTGGGGTTTTGAAGGAGTTAGTTCTTTGACAACTTTCTCTATTTCTGATCTTGTGATTAATCTTGTGAGAGATGTTACTACTAATGTTCACCAATATCTAGTTCTCTTTTACTTCCGGGCATGTGGAAAGTTTGCATTTCCCTGTCTCCTTGAAGTTACATGTGACCAGTGAAATGTTAGCAGAAGTAATATGCGTCATTTCCTGGCAGAAGCATGTAAGAGCGAAGGGTTGATTTTCCATTTCCTCTTCCCATGTTCTAGTGATTATGGAAACATGCTGACCTGACAGCATCTTAGGATAGTGCAGCCTCCATCAGCATAGGTCCCTGCGTAACTGTAGTAAACAGAGCTGCCTGGCAAATATATGATGGATTTGTGGCACAAGTTGGAAATAAACCATTGTTGCTTTAAACCACTGTAATTTGAGGTTTGTATAACAGCATAACATACTCCATCCTGACTGTTACAATATGTTTACATTTTTTTCTCTTCTAGGAAGTTTTCCTAGAAAATCATTCATTTTATCTAGATTCCAAATTTACTTACTTAGAATTGAACATAGTGGTCTCCTGTGATTCTTGTAGCTTTCCCTGTGTCTGGTTATTACTCCACAATTTCTTCTTTTTCTGTTCTTGCAATAATATAGAAAATGTTTTATTTGTCATTTTGATTAAGAAGTAAAGCTATTAGAATTATTTGATGTACCAATTTTGTTTTCTAATTCTGGAATTTCTGCTCTCATCTTTGTTAGCTTCTTCCTTCTGTTGCTAGTCTCGTTCTTTTGAACAAATTGGGTATTAATACATTTGTTTTCCTTTGGCTTATATATTTATGTATATTCAGTAGCTTGAGACTTAATTCCCTTAAATTTAAAGTTATTGGCATATTTAGATTTTTTTCATAGTTTTGTTATGAATTACCAGTTGTGCTATAGTTAGAGAGGATTATTTATGTCATATCCATTTTTTGGAATATTTTTGAAGTTTTCTCTGTGACCCAACATATCATCAATTTTTGCTATTGTTCAACTATGCTTAGAAAGTAGACTAAAGTTTATTTTAAAAATAATTTATTCAAGAAAGAGTTGCTAGAATCATATACACTGATTTCACACTCTTTGAAAATGTGTGCCTCTTGCCTTAGGCTTGAAGGACAGTTTGGCTTGGTAGAAAATCCTGAGGTCATTGTTCCTCTTCTTGAAGATGAAATAAACTATAGTTTCTCCTCCCCTTGGGAAAATAAACTTAGGTTAATCTTCTAACACTGTTTTCCAGGAAACCCGATAAAGTTGGGACACTGACTGTGTTACCAGGCAACAGTTTTCATGATTAGTAAACCATATCTAAACTGAGAGGACTCTGAACAGGATTACAAATGTTTGGTGGGAAGCAGAAATAGGGGCAACCTCAAGTGCAATGTGACTCCTGAAACTGAGCATGTCCCTCGCAGTGGCCCCGATACCCATCTATGTGGCCTTGTCCTCTGAGCTGTTACTTGGAGGACTAGAAAAGAGCTCCTTGACCACTATGAAGACTCCCTCTGGTGACGCATCTGATACATCCATGCTGATATGCTGTGTTTCTTATTCTGTATCTCTCTGTAAAGCTAAATGGTGCAAAACACAGCCTATTTGGTCTTATGAGTGTCAATATCAAGCCTACCCCAAGACCACTGCTATAGAGTGGATTTTGCAAATATAAAAAAATTTAAAAAGTAAGAATGGTCATGTAAATTCTAAACAAGAAGAGTAGTAAAGTAGAATTAGAGCCATCAAAAATTAACAAGTATTTTATAATAAGTAAAACAGCATTGTACAGGTGCATGAGTAGAGAGAGACAATCAGAACAGAATAGAAAGAAAATCTAGAAACAGTGAGCAATGTCTGTGGGATTCACCATTTGAAGTGGAATTCCAAATCAATTGGGAAACAAGAATGGACTATTCAACTACAGTGATGGAATAAATAAGTAGTCTTTGGATGGAATATAATTGAATTCTTATTCTGTATCTTATATTTTACCAGCTGATTACACATGGTTAAGCCATGCAAAAGCTTTAAAAAATAAAGCTTTCTCCCCTGAAATGAATGTTCCTTTATCTGTTTTTCAGAAGGAGATTTTGCCGCAAATGCACCCAAGTGAAAACTCTCCTTATTCAAAATTGCAACTCTAGAGGCCTCCTTTATTCATAATTTTAAATAAGTATTACTGCTCTGTACATAAACATAAAGGCTATTTGATTACACAATGTTTTTCTATAACACTTACTCGTGTCTCTACTTTACTATATTTATGCTATCAGTGTTCCATCTTAGGGTGCTCCATGTGATTCTAGGTGTTATCTTGCACAGGATTAGATATTTTTAAATTAATTTACTAATTCATATATTCAAGATTATTTAGTGAATATTTATAATGTATGAGTAATGTTTTGTTAGGTTTTGAGAGGTGAAAATATGCATAGAATGGAATTTATTTCCTCAATGGACATATTGTCTGTAGAGGGAATGTGAAATATGCACAGAGTGTAAGAAAAAGAGAGAGAGAAAGTAATGATAAAGAGGCAGATGAAGTTCTATGAGTTTATAAGAGAAAAAATAAATCTGGGGCAATATCATTGTCTTACTTATAAGTTTTGAAAAAGCTAAGCATGAGGAACAGAAAAATTTTTGCCAAGTCAGAGTGGCTATCCTATTAAGGAAATACTTTGTGATTATGTCACTTATGTCTGGCTGCCCATCTGCAGTGACAACCTGAAAGACCACACACAGTCTATACAAAGGAACATAATATCACTTAGAGTGCCATACGCTCCCTAGCCTGTGTCCTCTCTGTTGTCATTCACTGTCCTGGAGACTATCTTGTACTTAGTTCTCTTTATCACAGAGAGGCTTCCAGTCCAAACCCTCAAGAGTCCACCTACCCCAGCCCACTCCCACTCCTCTCCACTCCAGCCATCAAGGAGCTGCAACCAGTGTATGTCAGTGGTGAGTCTTCCCATTGGAAGGGGCTCTGTGGCTCAGGCCAGGAGGGAAGAGAGAACAGAGAAAAGACCATGAGGTGTTTTAACCACCTCAACCCCATGAATCCCAGTCACTCCCAATAAGTAAATTACTCCCTCAGAGTCATCTTAGGGTTGAGAGGATAGTCATGAAGCAGAGGACTGGGAAATGTGTATATATTTGAACCCTTATCCACCGACATCAGTGAACTCTGCAGTGCGCCCTGTAGATGTGAATGTGGTTTATTCCCAGGGTTGGAGCATCCAGCAGTGCAGGTGAGAAACGGCAAAATGGTTCTTGTTAGATGCATCTTCCCAGGAAAGTGGCATAGTGTGCATAATAGAGGCTTCAAAACATCAATTGCCTTTGATGTGAAATCTGTAGATCCAAGAGGGAGTAAGAGATATTTGAGTTGGTTCTTGTAGAGAAGCTGAGTTTTAAAAAAAAAAGACAGGAGGTCCATTGAGACTTCATTCAGATGAGAATAGACAGGGAGAATCTGGGATACAAGGCAAAGGGATGGAATCAGACAAGAGTGAGAACATCTAAAATCATGGTGTCTAAAGTCCAGGAGGAATTGTCTCAGTTGAAGAGGGTCTTGAAGTGCCTCTTTTAAAGGACTTGAAGTCTTGGAATGGGATGGAAGAATTCATTAAACAAATCACCTAACCTAGAGAGTTTTCACTTTGACATGTAACTTTGCAAGAATTGAGACAACAATTATTTAGCAGTGCAGAGCCTTCAAGCTGCTGCTTCACTTTCCTTGAAGCTGCAACCTTGAAACCTGCCCTTTGATCTGTGCTCCTAGCTGCTCCTGAAAGAACAAGTGGCTGCTAGAAGCTCAGCCAATTTCCTGGGAGATGGTCATCCAGCCACTCTCTACTAAGCCTCTGAAGCTGGGTCTTCTGCCAGCATGGCTTACGGTTGTGCCACTACAGCTTCCTATAGAGAATCACTTATCCTGTGATTCTCCTTCTCTGTCTGTGAATAGCCCAGCAAAATGGAAAAGGCACAGTCATCTCCACTGGATGTTTATCTTCGACCCCTCTAGATGCTGATCTATGGTTAAGGGAAAAAAGGAGATTCAGTCCCACTATGCCCACCTGTAAAAAGGGAGAAAGAAACAGATATCACTAAGCAGTCCCTGCAGCCACACACTCAAGCTGCCGTGTGACTCAGGATCTCTCCTTATTTATGTCTCCAATTTCCTTCTATATGTTTGGTTATCTACAGAACACAGAGGAATGACAGGAAAATGGGCTCCGACAGAATGATCAGTGAAACCAAAAGGGAAAAGATCATAAGAATAATAAACCATGGAAGTTGCATTAGAGCTGGGAAGAGTTTTGTCTGATATATGTTGGTGGAGGGCCTATAGGATGGATGGAGTCTTTGAAGCACTTCAGAGTGGGCAACATTAAAGGATGGATTTTACGGAAGAGCATGTGAAGATGGAAATCCACACATTAAGCATGGCAGTTCTGTGTCTTGGGGCATAAAGTCTGGAAGTGAGGTATAAGTAGGAACTCAAGAGCTCAGTAATTTTTTTCTCCTTCACAGAAAACACCAGAAGGACATTTCTGGAGAACATATTGAGCTAGGCTCCTTATAAGTTCTTCATCTTGTGTCCCTCCACCATGTTCCTTCTCTTGCTCACTTAAGTCCTTCCTTCTGTGTGTTTCTCCTAGGACTCCTAAGTGATCTACTCTGGTGTGAAGAAGGCATAACACTTGGAGGAACAAGAGGGGGAGACCAGAAACAAGGGTGGAGCAGCCCTAAGGACTGCCATAGGACCTTGTAAAAATGCTCAGCTCTCATAACCTGTCACAGACAGAATGTGCTTCAGGGACTCTAGGCAAGCCACCTGTGTCATCATTTTTGTTCTCATCATGTTCTTTTCCCAATATCTTCTTCTATTAGTTAAATGTTTATTGAACTGCTACTATATCCAAGGCGCTATGTGAGGAAATTATTTCTGCTATCTTCTCTTAAGCTATCAATATCCAAAGAGTTGAGAAAGCAGAATGAACAAAAGACAAGTTCTCACATTTACCTACTCTGAAGTGACATAAAGAGACTCCATTTCTGGGTTTTTCTTTCCCTCCTAAATTGGATATCTGTTGTCTTTTATCTCCACAGAGATCTCAAGTTTTAAATTGAATCCTCTCTTGCTTTTGTGAAAACTTTAGGGTGAGTTTGTGGGAGGAAACAGCAGCTTGAGTTAGCTTGCCATATAGCTCACTCTTGAATGTTCAATTTTTATATTAATTCACATTGATTTAAAATTAATAGTATGTTTGTATCTTTTTGAAATGCTAAATGCTTTACACTTGCCATCATCATGTATGGAGTAAGACCACAGCCTTTGGAATCTGCTGCCTCGGGTGTGTCACAAATCCATCCCTTATTAATTGTTAGCTTTGAGCAAACTACTTAACCTTCCTATGCCTCAGTTTCTTCACCTTAAAATGAGGATAACCCATAGGTTATTATGAAGAGTAAATAAATGTTTGTAAATCACCTAGAACAATGTCCGGCATATAGGTAGCATTATGTAAGCGTTCATTAAATAAAACATGCATAATTATCACTTGGCCTTAAACTCAGTACTAAGAAAGTTCAAAAAGCAGAGTGATATCAGTCTCTAACCAAAGGATTATCAAACACAACTGTCAGAATTTTCACCACAACACCTCTTTGATTAACATTTTATACAATCCCCTGCCCTGCCAAAGATAGTTCACCAATAGGAGGGACATAGATGACTGGGGATTTGAATTTGATAATTAATCTACCAAAAATAATTTAGAATGCTTTATAAAATTTAGAGAATAATTTTGAAGTTCATCAGAAAAAATAAATAATTAAGAATAGTGAAATTTATTATTTAAATTTTATATTCAAATAATAGTACACCCTTGTCAAGATCACCTAAATTCTGAGATCTGAGCATCAAGGACTGAGAGCTAGTATATCCCATAGATTTATGACAGGGTGAGGGTAATGTCAACCCTAGAATTAACCCTGAGACCCCGCCCCTTAGCAGTGATGAACTGCTCTCAGCATTATTTACATCTAACCATCCCTGGGGGATAGTATGCACTCTCCTTATTAACAGTAACTCTGGGTTCAAAACCTCTAGAGGAATAGATCAAAATTGCATAGGTAATTTGATCTCTCTCTGCTCTAGTCACTCCAAATCACCCTTACCTATCAAGAATTATTTATCTCCATATTTATGGCTTGCTAGAACCTGTGTGAAATTATAGGTTTTCAGGTAACAATCCATGTTACCATGGTCTGGCTCAATGGTTAAGTTGCCAGTAACCACTCTCATTTTAGAAGGAGACTATCTCAGAGCTGCCATTTAACACTTCTCCACACACTTAACACACGTGCATATGACCTGACTATTCTTAAATCTGAGAGGGCTACCACCTGGACCCTTTGAGCTGAGAGGGACCACAAGAACCTGTGGATTTTTACACATAAGATATCTTCATTGTACAAAAACTAGAAATCGAGAAAATTAAAACAATCACTGTTAAAATCACTGTCGCTTCCATCAACCTAAGACAATTGCTACTAATACTTCAGTGTGAAGGGTCAAGCAGCTTATTATACGTTATATCATGATATAGAATTGAAACAACCTTATAGGAAAGAACAATCTCCATTTTCTCAGCATCCTACGTAACGAAATAGAGATCAAACATTGGAGGAGTCTCTTTCTTCCTGGCTTTCTATTTATATAGAACATTCTGAAGAGTAGCTTCTTGTCCTTGCTTCCTGGTACTTTTTTGAAAGAGTTTTTCAGGTCAGTTACTGAGAGAGCGTCTTCTCAAAATGCTGAATGGTGAGGCCTTCATGCTGCTGTGATCATTGTTGCTGGTGTTTGGTGAGTGGACAACTTGGAACGAGATCTGGGGCAGCAAGAGGATGGAGACCAGAGTATGTAGAGATCCGTGGGGCTTTCTCAGAGTCCACATCTTTGGCTAATGCCTAACAGTGAGGCTGGGTCTCCACTTCCATTTCAGTCTCCGGAGATATTTGAGAATTGAAAAGATGAGAAGACCTAGATTTCCAAGAATGCATAGAAAGGATACATTTCAATTTCTATTAGGGAAAGAAGTCTTTGCCATGAATTTCTCTTCTGATCATACAGGAAACTTTATAAATGATGTAATTGGGATTTTTTTCTATATTAAACCCCAGTAATCTATTCCTTCACCATACTGAATAAAAATCAAACTTATTTAGATAACAGAGCCGGCCTGTGGCTGAGTGTTTAAGTTTGCGAGCTCTACTGTGGCAGCCCAAGTTTCCCCCCGTTTGGATCCTGGGCATGGACACGGCACTGCTCATCAAGCCATGCTGAGGTGGCGCCACACCTAGCATAACCTGAAGGACCTGCAAATAGAATATACAATGATTACTGGGGGGCTTTAGGAAGAAGAAGAAGAGAGAGAGAGAAAAAAAAAAAGATTGGCAACAGGTCTTAGCTCAGGTGCCAATCTTTAAAAAAGAGAAAGTACTCTGTAAACTGCAAAGCAATTTACTTCATCTTAAAAAAACTGTCTAGATAACAGATTAAAATTCACGATAGACAATGAGACCCTCTTGGTAAGGTACCACTGCTTAATTCTGGATAAGGGAGTGTCAGAACTTTGCTAAGAAACCTGACTCTTCTCTCCTGTACTTGGGAGGAATTCTGTACATAATTTTAGAATGAAATAATGGATTCTTAAGCCAAAACTTGGCCTAAAGTTGGGAAAGGAGGATTTGCACATCATACAAAACAGAGGAAGCCCCTCTTCGTCTCCATGTGTTCCCCTGGCTCTGTGTCTTAAGCTATATTGGGGCTCTGGAGAAGCAGAAGTAATAGTCAAAGGAATACACACTGGAGTGTAGATGAACTTCTTGGCAAAGGGAACAGCGCTGAGTAATAAGCAGTGTATATGTTGGGAACTTCCTTTGCGGGTGTAAAATGAAGCGAGCGATGTAGTGTTGATGGGAAATGTACAGCCTTTGGGGAGAGGTGGAATGTGGAAGAAGAAATATGAAAGGAAGAGGGAAAGAGAGAAGAGTGGAACAGAACTGGGAAAGTCCTCAGAACTGCAGATTGAAGAGAGAAATGAGGATACTGCTCTGTGCTCATTTCTCACTATTCTCTCTCTTGCAGCTTTGATCAGTGAAAAAATTAGTACCAGTGTTCCTGCTGTTCCTTTCTTACAATTTTGAGAAATTCTGTCCTTTAGACCAGCTCAGGAGGCATGAAAGTTCCATCTCAGATGGATGAAATTGAGGAGTACTAGACATGTAAATGCTTAGTGGTTTCCTCAGGCCCAGGCTGTTCTGTTTTCATATGATATCTGCTCTGAAAATACGCATGCTTTTGCTGAGTGGACAGATGTTATCTATCTTTTAAAGCTCTCCAATTCTCTACCCTTCAAATCAGAGGCTCAAAACTGGTGATCTATGACCTCTCTCTAGCTCACAGACCTGTTTTGTTTCACTAGCATGTTTTTCTTTTTAATTAAAAACTTTACATTTGTGGACAAAATGGCTCTAGGCTCTTTCTCCTAAACTTTTTCTTGGAAATACTAGATAAACAAGATGGAGGTTGGTGTATATCAAGACTTTATATAAAAACTACCATAAATACAAAAAAGACAGAAATATAGGGAAGCAGAAGCTGCTTAGAGAGGAAGAGGAGGATTGGAAATGAGGGAGTGCTTCTTGGATGACATCTCTTCTCTCCCTCATATTGCTCTGAGCTGACTCTTGCCCAACCCAGCTGGGCAATTCTACCACCAGAGCCAGTGGAGTAGCTATCAGGGCAGCACTAGAACCCAGCCATTATAGACAGCAGATAACAGTGGGTACAGGTATATTGCTGGGCTCCTTGGAATTCTTGTCTCCCCACTGCCCGCCACAGCCCAAGGACTGAGTGATCATCATTGAAAGAGGCAGAGAAATCCCTTGGAAGAGCAGCAACTAGTGTAGAAGTATAGACAATCCTCTAGTGGGTGGGCCAATAGGAAGTGATTGTGTCCAGTTAGAGCTCTGGAGATTTTCTGCCTGCAAACACTCCTCAACACTCCCTAGACACATCGAATTGTGCACAAGTTAAAGAATAGCCAAGTAGAGATCCTAAATATGAAAATTATAATAGTCAAAATAAAAATAACTGATGGGTGATTAATTAGCACATAGAATAATACTAAAGAAAAAAGTGATTTGGAAGATCAGGAAAACTCTCTTAAAAATACCAAAAAAGGGTAAAGAAATGGAAACTATAAAAGGAAAATTAAGAAATACGGATGATGGCAGTGAAAGTGTCAATATCTGTATAATGTATGTACGACAGATAAAAATAAAGAATAGGAAAAAACTCGTGGAAAAAATAATTACTAAGAATTTTACATAATCAGAAAAAGGTGAGGGGCCAGCCCGATGGTACAGCGGTTGATTTCGCATGTTCCACTTTGGTGCCCTGGGGTTTGCCAGTTTGGATCCTGGGTGCAGACCTACGCACCACTTGTTAAGCCATGCTGTGGTAGGCGTCCCACATATAAAGTAGAGGAAGATGGGCACAGATGCTAGCTCAGGGCCAGTCTTCCTCAGTAAAAAGAGGAGTA